CACCCACAGGCTCAAGACGGCATTGCCGTGAATCTCCACAGCAATTTAAGCAAGGTCCCTCAGCTAATGCCAGCTCATGGTCCCACATAACCTAAATTATTCTGGGACTACAGAGAGCGTATTCACTTTGCTGTCTTTAAAGATGTCTAGGGCTCCTGGGCACTGCATTTCCCTTGACCCGTAATACAGCGGTATATCCCCCTAGCAGAAAGAACTATTGGTTCTGCCCAATGAAAAAGCAATTTTCCTTGCGCGTTCAGTTTGTGTTTCCTGCAGTGATGCTCAAACCATGGACAAGGGAGATCATGTCTTCCAGGCATATTTTAGCTCTTAAGTCACTAGAGATCCTAAACATGAGCGAGTTGTGCTCCTTTCCAACCCTGATTCTGTACAGAATTAAAAATTACCACAGTTCTATGACACACGTAGTTTAAGGATGAAAGAAGCAGGCTCTTTGTAAATTCCAGTCTGAAATAGCACTTTGGCTGCTATACAGTGATTTCTGATACTTGGTCTGAAAAATTCTGCCAATTCAATCTAGAAATGTCATCAAAAGAACTGTAATTATTTTTCCAGATAAATCACTCATGCTTCATAATGATTTGTAAATAATTGCAAGAATTAGAACACATTGTCTTTTTGCTTTCAATCTACTATTTTCTTCCCTATTTATAATTTTTCTCTTTATTTAACTTTCTCTCATTTTCCAGATGGTATGACCAATTCTCTGGGTGGTTATTAGTTCCCAGCTAAAACATTACACACTTGACAGTGTATACATAACATTAAAATACATGCTATATTATGAACACCAGCTATAATGTTCTCGTTTTCCCGTTTCTATTTTATCATTCCCTTATTAAGAAAAATTGAGATCAAAGACATGATTGTTCACTGAAAAAAGATGTAGCTGCATCCTGGCATACAGTCCAAGTTAGCTGAACTATTTCTAGTACGTACTGGCAAACTAACAAAAAAGCATTAGTATGATTATCTCACAACACATTCTGGATTCATATAAAGACTACATCACAATAAAAAACTATTTACTTTCAGAGAAGCAGTAATGTTTCTTGAACTTCTATGCAATCTCACTTCGTATAGTTAATTTCTGAAGGCATAAATTAATGAACCGTCCTGCATTTATTAAGCTCATGCTAAGCTTATGTTCACCAGTATCACAGAAACTGGTGGAAGTTCAGGAAATTAAGTGCTAAAGAATAGATTTTCTTCGGCATTGTTTCAGCGTCATATATGACATGCTTGTAGTGTTCCCTTTTCAGTTTCTGGGGATGTTGGCATGGCCAAGGTTAACCCAAAACCCTAAATTTAAGGAAAGGGTTTTAGAAAGGAGGATTTAAGACACTGTGGTGGTACTGATTGCAGCTCTTGCATCAGTATTAAGAAGGGAATCTCCTGCTGTCTCCTGGGCTTGGACTTAAGTCTAGGAGTAGATCTAGGAACAGACTCTATCTGAGAAATAGGGTAGAAACCACCCATTTTCATAGTCCATAAATGACATGAAAGAGCGAAGGCACAGAACCACTTGTAGAGTTTCTGGTTTAAGGCAAATATACAAAACCAGAGCCAAGATGTAGAAAATAGATGTAGGAGAAACATACAGCAGCTTATAATCTTCCTTCTGGTATTACACTGTAGTTGGCTGTAGAGACCTTTGAACTGGATACAGTAAACTAATACAATGGTGAGTTGACTATATTCTCCTCCAAGTAGCAGAATTCCTGTGATTATACTGAGAAAAGACAACTCGTTATTGCTCAAGGAGAAATTAAAACAATTAAGTAAAGAATATGAAATCAAGTCTTAATCCTAAAATTCCTATTCCTTAGGAAAGACTGCTGAATCTTGTCTGCATTTGCAAATACCGAACAAGACTGAAAAACAGTGCAATTCTTCGCAATAATCTCACAGGAAGGGAAAAAAGTTGAAGTGGATTTTTTTTCTGGGACAAACTAGAAAAAAGAATGATTCAAATCTGTACAGGGATTGAGAGCAGCAAAGGCAAGCTGAATATGCATTTTTAGTTACTTTTATAGCAAAAAGTCTTTCACTGCCTTTGGGAATGGCACTGGAGTTATAGAGAAGGTGCAGGAAAGTTTCTTCTTGTGGTTGTGATACACCTATATGTGGAAACAGTGCTTCCAGTTCTAAACTATCAGTATGAATTCAAAGAGCTAACTCGGCAAAAGACAAAAATGAGAAGACTATACATACTGGAGGGAATAACACTTAGGAAAATGGTGAAACCAAGAGTGCAATAAATGGCATTAATATACAGAAATGGAGAGGTTACAACTTAAATTTCAAGAAATCTTTCCATCAGTGTCTAGGCACACTGTTTTAATCCAAAACATTAGGACATTTAAAGCCAGATAAGAGAAACTAAGAGAAAATTCTGCAAATGGGAACAATTTTACCTCAACACGTTTCTTAAAGTCTTTTTTCATCCTTAAATTCTACAACCAGAAAAAGATATACTGGTTAATATATCAACCTTTAATCCCAAAACAACGTTAAATAGAAGCTAGCTATGCTAGATATTTCAGCTGTAGAAAAGTCTCACCGGGAAATTCTGAACATCTGGCTGGTTGCTGATGTTCACTTCTAATCAATCTTGATACAATGAGGAAATTCCAGAGGACTGGGAAAAAAAAATTATTATATCAATATTTCAAATTATCAGATTGGATCATTAGGATAATTCTAAGTCAGAGGGAAAATAGGGAAAAAAATGATACAGAATGAAACATAGATATAACTAATACTGATATAGATTTATAGAAAATACAGTTTGTCAAATGTATTTGCTTAAATGAGACCATAAGTTGGCAGATAATGGTAAAAGTTTGGATTGATATTCTGAGGCTTTTATAAGGCATTTTGATTTAGAAACCAGAATGACATATAATCAATATGATTCTCATTAAATGGATTAAAGACTAGCCAGGAGTTAGATCTCAAAATACCTCAGCAAAAGGGAATTATCGCTGGCCAGCTGCATTTTGAGTGTACCCCTGCAAGAACTGGTTCTTGATTATTTTTTTTAATCTTCCCTCCACTTCAATTAGTATTATTTGAATCATGTTTTAACCAAAGGATGTCCTAGAGTTCTTACAACCCAGAAGGCAAGCCTAAATACTAACTGAACTCTGGCTGTCTGATCTAAGAGCACAGGGTGGGATATAGGAAGAATTACCACGAGCCCAGAACTGTAGCACTGAACTCTTCTGTTTGGGATTGCTTCATACTGAAGGCACCTAAATTCAGTAGATTCCACAATTTTTACTTAAGCATTTCAGAAGCACCCAACATCTACTTATGCAAGTATCCAGAACAGCCTCAGTCTTGACTCCTAAGCCCCACTGTTTGCCAATATCTTAGGAGTGGTTTATTTGCAGCTTTCATGGTGTGCCCAAGGCACAGCAATCGGGCTTCCTTCCTTCCTCTCCTTTTGGAATCTTAAATCTTCTCTCCAGAAAGGCAGTTATGCAGCAAGAGGAGCAGCCTGCCCACCCTCTTCACAGCACCAGGAACACGTGTTTGAGATGCTCCCTGTGGGACAAGTCCGACTCCCCTTAGACAGAGTAAGTAATTTAATTTGGACCTGCTGCATCTTAAGTCAATAGGCTATTATGTAAGGGGACTGGTTTGACCCCTGTCTTTTGCTGTTTCAAAAGAAGGACGTGTTTCTGTTCAGGATAAGCTGAAAACATCAGGCCAGCAGAAAAACACCCACTCCTGCCTTTGAACTTTCCTGCAGCTCCAAGTTGAAGCATAAGCTGTATAAAGAGCAAGGTCTAATCTTCAGCTCTCTCCTTAAGTAGCCGTTTGCTCAGTGTCTGTTATGTTCTGAACCCTATTCTGAGGCCCCACTTCTCCCCACGTATTGGGGATTGAACATACCATCTTTAGACTGTCAGGTTCTCCTGCAGGGCCTGCCTGCATAAATCTTTAGCTACCGATAACCATAAAGCGATAGCTGTCAAGAATAAAAATTGAAGCTGGCAGAAGTCAAGAGTAGCCGGTATGCCTAAAACTTGTGCTTCAGATCCATTTAAAATCTGTTTCTGCCCACCCTATTCCATTCCTCCTCCCAAAAAGGTATTTTCTCTGGTCAGACTCATAAGCAGCTTATTTTCTTGACTCTTAGTATAGTTGCATGGGACTCTGGTAACACAAACACGTTTTTGTCCAGACTACTTAGGCTGAGATTAATCATTACATAATGCTTTCTGTTAGGAGGCAATGGAGGACATGTGTCTGGAAATGCAATAAACTGGCAAAAACGATTGCTGTAATCGTCAGGAGTATGGCAATAATTGAACACTTTGTATATGTTAATAAACGAGAAGCAAGCCATAAAAGACCTTAAAAGTGAAATCACAGTTATCTGATTCACTAGAAATTATGACCTAATGGGAAGATAGGGCGAGGAGAAGGGAGGATTAAAATACTTTAATAGACAATTTGTTTGTCAAGGCTGGAAAAGATAGTTTATTCTAAGTTACACAAATTTAAATAGATACCTTTAAAACCTTTTTCTCTATGTAAATTTAATGGAGAATTATAAAGAACAGCTTAGCTGGAATAATGTAAATGAGATCTCCATGGATGAATCTGAGTATAAACATTTTGAGCCACATTCTCCATGCTTACAAAAATATCCTTTCAAAGTAAAATGGCTTGCTAAGTAATTAAATATTTAAAAGCTGAATCAGAAGTTAGATTCAAAATAGACTTCTGGAGTGAAAACATCAACTTTAAACACAGGTTGTGTTTCACAGTTTTTGGTTGAGGGTTTTTTTGTGAAAACCAAGTAAAAAGAAACTGTTAACTTGTCAACAAATAGTCCGAATTTATCTGCAATTCCTTTAAGTTTTGTTCTTCTGACATGAACACGTTTAGAAATAGAAGGCAAAGCGGATCCTCAGCTGCAGCTTGGAACGCTGTGCTCCCCCTGACATTCTAGACCCTCCTCTTCACCGTCTTTCCGCACAGATGAGGTACGGCTGTGGTTGTAATGTCATGCCTAATCTTGGTTTGAGATCTGGAATCACACCATGAGGAAAACACAGGTGAAATCGTTGTAGTAATGAAGTGAAAAACAAAAACATTTCCATTCGAGCTAGTTGTTCTCCAAGACAATGTCTTCTTCCTGGATTGAAAAGAAGGTTTTGAAAAGATGTTAAATGTGTTCAATTACATTTTCACTCTTGTTATGAATAAGAACGACCATTCTTATCCTCTTCTGCAACAGAGGATAGGTGGTAGTCTATGGCAAGAAACAGATTTTAGAGAATTTGCCCCTTTCACTGGGCAAATGCCATTGTAATGAATTCTGTCAAATTTATTTAGATAAGCTATTAGCTACTTTATCTTATCTTGAAGTGCCAATCTAGACAGAAGATGTTTTAAAAAAACGATACTGTGAATTTCAGCCTTTGTCCCCTACTGTTTTCTTAATTACATCTACTGCCAATCATTATTACCTGGCAATTATTGTAATTTGTTAAGTAGAAAGGTATGAAACAGGTCTGGATAATACCTTTATATATTAGTTCCCATTTTGTGTATGACTAGTTACAGGGAGTAAATGTGCTTGTGGAAGACACAGATAAATCGATAACAACATCAGGAATTGGTAAGGTCAATCAGGCGAAAAGAAATGTACAGAACACACAATAGAGATGGACTTCATCAAATCTAACTTTGGCCAGTTAGATGTTGTGCATTTATTTCAAGGGAATTGTCTTGGCTTGGCTCCTTCTATCTTTTGGAGAAAAAATATCCCAGATAAGTAAACCTAGTCACCCTCTACATGAGGCTATGTCTTTCTATGGACTGTGGACGTAGTCCTGGCAGTCAGCTTATAGGGAACACCTAATTTTTAGGTTGATAATCATATGTAAGGTAAATTATCCCCTCTTAAAAGCATCCAAAGACAAATCCATAATGATTTAGGACTGCCAGGATACTTCCTCAGGACAGAATGCAGTGCCACATGCTGACCCTCAAGCTAGTTCTGAATAAAATCTGCAATTTCTGGTGCTGATCCAAGTGCTGAAATTTGAAAGCTGGTTGTGGAAATCACCTGTATGTAATGAATTTAGCAGAAAATGACTGCTAATTGTGAAATGAATAACACTTATGTACTGCAATGATATAAAATGTGTAGACTCCTCAGATAAGAAGGTATTGTGCTGTCTTTTTTGTTAGTTTATGTACTAACGAGCTCATCTCGATAAAAGATATGCTAAAATGTGTTATCTTCAGACTGCATTATATTGAATATCTTTAAAATAGCTGTTCTGTCAGGACTGTGGATATTTTATATCATTCTGTCCACTTATCTGTTATACATTTCCAGATTTATGAAAAGAAACAGTGCAAGGAATCGCTCTTACCTAGAGAAAAAGGAATAAATGCCTCTTTCTTGACAAACTGCCCACTGCCGTCCAAAAATCTCTCAGGAAAAAACACTTCTGGGTTGCTCCAGTATTTTTCATCAAAATGAACTGAGTAGAGGTTTGTAATGACTGTAGTGCCCTCAGGAATAGAGTAACCACGCACAACAGTATCTTTGGACGTTGCGTGAAAAATACCTAGTGGAGCTATATTACAGAATCTTAGAACTTCATGTAGAACAGCTTCAGTGTATGGCATTTTGCATTTCTCTTCTAAGGCAGGCATTCTGTTTGGGCCAATGACTAAATCGATTTCTTTTTGAACTTGCCCTGTTAGGAACAGGAAAAAAAGCTCATGTTTATTGTGTAATATCCTTTATTTTTTAATTTAAGCTATAAACTGTATACTTTTAAAAGGATACTGAAACATGAAAAATCTTATATAAAATATAGTCGCTTATACGCTTTTAAATTTAGATTCTCTATTCCTTATCCTGCTAGTAGGAATTATTACTAGCATATATACCAGTGATCTTCATTTCAAAAGTAATTATTCTCAGTAAAACTGTGTTTTAACATACTTTTCTTTGCTTCTGTATATTTTTATTTCTGGAGCTCTTCAAAAACTAAAGAAACAAGCAAAAGACTGCAAAGATGATGTACATTAAATACTTGAGTGAACACAGATAACACTGAAATTAGCCACTTGAACTTTCCCATGTCTAATTCTGCTATGATTCTTTAGAATTGTCACAATGTAAAATCATTCACTCTTAAACCGAAAATACCTAATATAACACAGTGCAATTTAAGAGGGACAGGAGTCTAAATTTAACTGAAAAGGAACAATTTTAATCACTATTTATTAAGCTATTTTTAAAATTAAGTTCACAGGTTATTTAGATAATCCCCAGGGCATTCAAACTGCCTTTTTTTTTCCTGATACACTTTCTTTGTCAAAAGTGCCAAACAGCTCCTAAGTAAAAGAAAGCTGGACTTCTACAATTCATGTGGAACCAATAATGAAAATCTGGGCAATGGCAGAAAAATTCTATAGGAATCACCAAGATTTTCAACCTAAGTGACAATGTTTCACATCAAAATCGAGAGATGAAAAGTAGCTTTGTAAAAGTATGTTCTGTGATGTAGTGGTGTATCGGTGTACATTGTAATACTTGGACAGACAACGTCTAAATAAATGAAAGGTAACGGTAATTTTCATTTTTATCCAGATGAACTGATTTTGAATCCAAATTCAGAAACTCATTATATCACAGGATCTGAGATCAGAAGATTATTTTAGGTGAGTGGATCTCTACAAAATCAGCCAATGCGTAGAAGACACAAAACTGCAGTGTTTTCTAGATCTTTACTGAAAAACAGTATCTTGGTCAGATCTTAATAGAGAAGGAATAAGGATGCTCTTGTTTTAAGATATAAATATTGTTTGTGAGCCAGGACAGACTGATCAGAAACTTTGACTTTAGTGGCCCTTTTTACATTTGGGCTTTTCATATAACATAAAGCATAAATACATCCTACTGACTAATTACATATTTTAACTAAAATATGGACAATATTATTTATGCATCCTAAAAACTTAAGTAGCTATAAAATCAGATTCTAATTTTTTCATTTTGAAATGTTTTTCTTTTTTGGTAGATTTTCTTATTATACTGTGTAAAGCATACAGATGAATCAGTGGAACTCAGAAGCATAAAAGCAACATAAAATTTTTTAAAACCCATTTGTTTTAAATGGTCTGAAATGTGCTGACTGGTTAAAAACAGCAACTGCAGTTTTCAGCTTCCACAAAAAAATTATTGGTTGTATTTAGTGACCTGAAGCTACATATTTCTCTTAAGTCCATCCCTCAGAGTTGTTAAAATTAACAATGCAAATCCTGTTAAATCTTGCTTTTAATCCTACGCTAGAATAAAGTTTTCCTATTTTTTAATCTTTAATCAGTTTCCTCATGTACAATTAATTAATCAAATAACTAAAATAGTTGAGTAAATGAAAGTAAGAAAATATGTAAGAGGTTATGGGTCTCAGGAGATATTTCAGCGAACTTTGGTTCTACTTGCTTAGCCAGATCTTTTAACCAGCTCAGTGAATAAGGCACTTAAAATAATGATAAAAGCAGCAACAAAAGATCTTTGGCATCAACTTCTTTATTTAATCTGAATGATTTTCACTGCTTATAGCATGTCACGTCTTGACATACATTATCATCATATTTTGATTTTTATTTTTTTCAAGTAAAGTTGTATTTACCTTAAACATAAATATAAAATTTGATCTCTAATTTTAAAATAATAATTGCTTTTTGTCCAGCCAATTTAAATTGAAAATTATTCTAGCTGAGAGAATCAGAAGGTAGAGAGTCCTGCACCTACTACCATAACAAGAAAATATAATCTTTCGTACATAAAGATATCTGGTTCCTACACAGAACTTCAGATCTCAAGAGCCTTATAGCTATGGGCAGTGTTGTGAACTCCATTCTGAAATGATGATGATGGTCAAATTGATGTTAGAGCAATATTCTTCAAACATAGTATCAATAGTAGCTTTGCAAGTTATCTAAGCTGCTCTTTCTCTCAAATACTGGAAGTCCCTAGTTGAACTATGCACTGCTAAGGTTTGATAGCAAAGTGGAGGCAGTGAAACAAGAAACATGACTGTTCACTTCTAAAATCCACACCTCTACACAAAATGTCTGGGCTAACATTCAGACATCTGTTGCTGTCTTACTTCAGAATGGCTGTAACACATCTTTTTATTTTTAAATGCTATTTTCGTTCTTCCAGAAGTATAAATATACATGTCCATAATATGTAAATCTATTGTGAATTGAGGCACTTAAGGATAAAAAGAAATTGTACCTAAATTGTGAATTACAACCTGATTTACATTTTTGCTGATATTTTCACATCTTAAATTTAGTTTAATTTCATATTTAATTGCATTTGATTATTATGTATTAATATAGATTAGTACATCTACCAGCCAATATAATGCATCACAACACCAAATTTAAATATATTAGAAAATCCTTATTAAAAATATTAAAGATTCGTAAAAATGTATTTACAAAATAATATGCTAAAATTTTATCATCATACTTGACCTTTGATATCCTCTTCATCTGTATATAAAATAAGCTTTTCACATCTGTCCATAGTGCATTTGGTAATGGATATAATAGAACAATATATACAAACATTGCTTTTTGGTTAGGACTATGAATCACTGCACCACTTTCAAAAAGCTTTTGAAATTGGCAATTGGAAAATGTGTCAGTTCCTCAAAATGTCAAAGGTCTTACCTTGAATGTTTGGATAAAGAGCCATAAATAACACTGCCCATCTTAAAACGTTTGTTGTGGTTTCTGTCCCAGCTATGATTAGTTCTCCAACAGAGAAAATTAAGTTTTCTCTTGAATATGTAGACTCCGGATCATTTTCATTGCAATCCATCTCATCTAGATATGCATCTACAAAATGCCGAGGTGACTGAGGCTTCCTATTTTCAGAGACACGTTCAATAAGCTCATGAAGAAAGTCATAGACTTCAGCTGCATTTTTAAACAGCTGCTGGTGTTTCCCAAATGGCAAGATACCAATCCAAGGAAAAGCATTATATAAAAATACAGAAGCACTAGCAGCTAATTCAATATTTTCACTAAAAATCTCAATCATGTGCTGAAATTCAGTATCTTCGTATGTAAAACGTTCTCCAAAAATAATCAAATTAGTAATGTTTGAAACAGCATTTGTTATCAAGTGCTTAAGATCAAAGGGTCTGCCTTTGTACGTATCAATGGCATCAAGAAAAAACACAGATTCTTCTGAAATTTTGTGTTCAAAGGACCTTTGACCATATCCAAAAATTCGAAAGGTATTTACAGCTAATTTGCGATGTTCTGTCCATCCTCTGCCATATTTACTGTTCAGTAAGCCTGAAAAAATATTTTGACACAGTATTTTATGCAAGGCTTTATTTTTCCCCCATAAGATAATAATAATTTTTTTAAAAATATAAAATTAGTTAACAAGACAAAAAACAAGACAAAAAATTACACATATCTTGCTATGGAACACAGTCTGAGAGTGACAATCCTTTCCAAATAATACCTTTAAAGAAGCATTGAGTATTTTATGAAAGGAGATAAAGAAGTAGAGAAACCAGCTACAGCAAATGTTTCACGTACTCACAAACCCACCTATTGGCCAAAAATGACATTTTTATATAAAAGACATTAGCACTTACCTCCCATGTTTGTCAGCTTCTTAAACAAGGGAAGAGACGGTCTATCTGCAAAAATTTCACTTTGATGAACAAGGCATTCTTTTACTGCATCATAGCCATTCAGTACGATAGCAGATATACCTCCAAGATCGAGACTGAAGATCTTTGGGAGGAAAAAAGTAATAAAAAATGTAAAATGCCATTAAAACCAAGCCTTAAGAACAAATGAAAACAAGTAAATACAAATAATGAAAAAGCGAAACATCAGTGCAAAATACAGACTTGAATAAACTTCAGTAGGGCATACAGGGAACCGGAGGTGATACAACTGTGGCATTACACAGTAGAGTCTGTTGTGAGCTGAATTACTCTGTCAAAAGATAGAGCAAATTAGCCCACCCTACATTCTGTGCTTTGCTGTGCACCTAAAGTGAGCAGCCCGTCAAAGTAAGGGCTGGGGATGCTTCCATGTAGTCATTAAAATAATGTCAATTTGGTACAACAATGCCTATTTTTCAGAAAAAATGTACTATGCCTTAACATTAGTAGATATAAGTAGATATTAGTATAAGTATATATAAGAATATACTTATAAATATATAACTAGATATTATTGGATATAAGGCATAATTTTTATATAAGAACTAAAGTAAGTATATTGTTTACTTTCCTAATTTGCTGAGGCTATTTCCACAGGAGGGAGGAAACCTTTACTACCATATCGGCTTTTCCTCTCTGCCTTAGTAAATGTAAATTCCAATAGCTTAATTTGGTTAAGGGCGCTGTGACTGAAGCTACAAGTTCGTATCATGAAAACTTCCAACATGTCACTTAATAATGGCAGACACTGAAGTGGTGTCAGTTGTGAAAACCACCAAGCTGCACCCAGTCCTTTCCATCTCTGAAACTGGACACCAGCTTACTTTGCACAGGCTCCCAAAGAACTATCAGATGATAGAATTGAGGGCCATGATGACAGCCAACAAATGACAGCACAGCCCAGATAGTCTCATCTCCTGTTTCCAGAAGTGGCCAGCACTAGATGCTTTGGAGAAAGATGCGATACATCCTGCAGAAGGCCCATAAACAGAATGAAAATCTTAGCCTAAGTTTTAAAAATTGAAACTGAGGCTAAACTAAAGATTGAAGTCCTATATCCTTTTCCATACTTTTCTTAGCATTATAAATTTGTACTTTTACCTACACAAATATCCAGTTTTTCCTTTATCTCAGAGCTCTTGACCCCCACAATATGAAATAATGTTAGCCTAACTATATATTCTGTGACAAGTGGGTTGTCACCAAGAAGGTTGTTCCTGGAGGTACTTAAAAGATGTGTAGACGTGGTGCTTAGAGACACTGTTTAGTGGTGGACTTGGCAGTGCTAGGTTAATGGTTGGACTCGATGATCTGACGGGTCTTTTCCAACCTAAACGATTCTATGACTATTTTATTTAGGAAACTTGATATTTTCACTGTTATGTGACAAGAAAATACTCATGAGGTATTTCTGAAAACCATTTGTGAGTTTTGTATGCTTTGACCATAGCTTATCTATCTTTCTTCCTATGTCATAATTTAAAAAAAAAAAAAATGCCTTTCATTGTATTTTTCCAGAGCCCCCCAAAACCTGATCTGCTGTCTTCAAGTTCCCCTCAAATTCTGCAGGACCCTTTCGGACAGTAGGCGACCAGAACTACATATAGCATTCCAGGCAAGTAGAAAGCTCAGTTTATTTGATGACACATTTTCCTTCTTATTTCCATTCTATTTGTTGTAGTATTTTGCTTGAAACACATTTACTTTTTTCTATTGCCAAAGTAAATGAAACAAGAGATACTCTTTTGTTTCTGCCATTTAGCATGCTTTTCATTCATGCACGTTGTTTCGCTTCTCATTCCTAACAAGACTGTGACTGTTTCTGCTGTAGCTTTCATAAATGATCTAGATAAGAGCTTTTGACAGACTTAAGTTCCAGAAACAGTTTTATTTGCTTGTTAGGGGAGTTATATTTGAACAATTCTAGCAGTTTGAAGGACAGGACTTTCTAGACAAGCTATGGTTTGTTGCACACAAAGCTCAGTCCTTCACAGAGCTCCACTGATAATCCTGCCAAGTAAAACACCACAGGTGTTATAAGCAGTGTGGAGATGTAGTGGCACACCGAACGGCTGCCCAGGGCGCTGCCACCCAAACGGGGGGGTGTGTGTTTTTGTATGCTTACACATACACACTTACAAACGCTAACACCTGCCTGTCTTTCCCTGCTAGATCAAGTTCGGCCTTAATTTTTATGAAGCTTATAAGAACAGATCAGTTGTTTGAAACTAGTCAATGAAAAGAAACACCTGATATTCAAGAAAGTATTATGTTCTTGTATATATATGCCATTTTTACATAGTTATACTAACTGACTGTAAAGAAATATTGCAAAGACCTGCTACGGGAACTTCGAAGCAACATGTTTTCATGTTGCATTATCCAAGTGCCTGCTATTTGGTTGTTGTAAATTTGTTAATTTTAAGCCCTTTTGGCGTGTCCAAGACTCGTGGATATGAAACAAGCGAGTTAATTCCATTTGCAGCAGGATACCAGTTTCAATACTGTACCGAAGAAAAGGGAGAGCCAGGCAAGCAGAGAGCTCCTCTCCGCCCCTGCCGCCCTAGAGAGGGAGCTCTGGCATAAGAGAGGCAAAAAACTCTTCCCCTCTGCCGCTGCTCTGTCCCTGCTCCCACGGGAAGGGCTGACAGGAGCACCGGTTCTACCGAAATACTCATCAGCCCCAAAACCTTGTTCTCCGGGCGCCGCTACCCACCGGGTACCGGGCCCTTTCCCCTGCTCCCGTTAGCCGGCGGGGGGAGCTCCGCCCCCGATGCCGCTGCCTCCTCCCC